AGTTACCTCAATTGCTCCACAGTCACGGAGTGATGAACTAAATGGTTGCCATCTATCCCGATGAGCTGAAAAGAAATAGGGTTTTTAATTTGGGTGACTCCGGGAGGCTTTATCGATCTCATACTCCTTATTTCTAATATTTGCAAACAACAAAACTGGTAACAACTTGTTCAATGTCTTATAGATAATAATAATAATAGTAATAATAACAACAACAATAACAATAATAATGCTTATAATAATAATAATATAATAATAAATGTGTCTAAAAGTAATGTGGTCAGGGGTATCATCCATTATAAATGTATGTTTGCTGTCAGAACACCTCTATGTTATATGTAGGCCATTTTCAAAAATTAAATTATAAAAATGAAAAACGGATTAATATCAAGTGCAGGTGTAAAAACCATCATATGCTATATTCCTTGGATCTCCTTTAGTTGTTTGGATCTTGTATTTGAAAGTATGATAGCATCCTTTACACTCTATTTCACACTCATCAATACTACCAGCGACTCTTGGGGAATTCATGATAACCTCAGGAGATATAACAGTCTTGCAGTCAATTTGTGGGCAACAGACAGGAAGAACCCAATCTTCATCTGGATTCCAAAAGTATGACAACTCTGCAAAACGTTTGCCATCCCAGAACTCCTTTTTAAGACCATGACCATAGCCCATTTTCTTGTCCAGTGGCAACCAGTGATCCTTTTGTTGCCAGCGACAAGTTATTTTCTTGCACATCGAAGGAGAGAAACACCACCTTTTAACCTTGCTTGTGAGGCTTGGGTAGTAATAGGGTATATTTCCTTGTTTTCCACAATGGGGGCAGCACTGTTCTTTATTTTGAAGCAAACCAAACTGACAGGGGTGGCTTGAGTCTAAGCATACCCAGTACAGTTTTGGGGTGCTGTATCCAATAGTCTCAAGCAGGGAACATACTTCGTCCCATTTAGAAGGCCATATTGTATTCACCTCATTGTTGTTTCTTGAGTAAAGATTCTTTCCCCAGTTTAAGAGGTCTTCGAAATGCTGGATAGAGATTGCCATTTGTTCCTTCATTTCAATAGCTCGTAAAATTGCATCAAAAATGAACTTATCAACTTCATTTTCATCGTTTCCATCAGAAACATCATCATTATCAAGCCCAGGGGGATCATTCTCTTCCCAGTCATCCATGCGGCCACTAAGATCACTGTAGCTTGAACTGCCCTTGCTACTTATTGAATCCATTTCATCAACTTCGTTTACAGTGTTTTCAGCAAAGTTGCAAAATTCAGTACGTGTGTCTTCTGAATAGAATCCACACGCATAAGCTGTGTTGTGCTCACGATTGTCAACGCTTTCGCCTGTACAAGTTTTAATGTTTACTGGCTTTTCCAGCGCTGTCAAAGGGCAATCTTCATCTTAACTTCATTCAAGAACTTGGCTTTCTTCGATCGCTGAATGTGTCTCCATGCTGTTGTCGGATAGACTGGCCCACCAGTGCACACTTCACAAGGACAATGAACATGACCATTTGATTTGGAATTGATTTTCATGGCTTCCTGATTTACTATACAAAAGCAAACGGAAGGACACACTTCTTTTTGCTAGCCATCGTATGCCATTTTTCCCGCGACAAATCAGTCCAAGAGCTAACATCCCCTAGATCAGCAGCTTGTGCATGCACATTCCATACTAATATCAACGCGCATGCTTCAAATTGTCCCGCCATTTTTCGCAGTTTTCAGTGGAATGCGAAGGTTTTACGTGAGTGTGGAAGACAGTGTGGAAAGATTTCGAGAATTTTGAACTTAGAAGGCAGCTTTTTTAAACATAACCCTGCAAAAGTATGTCGACAAGTGTTAATGCCGATGAAAGCACCGACAAAAATAATGCTTTGCCAGAGAATTACAGAAGTAAATAGTTCACAATGCCTGAACATCTCTAGTTCTTTTATATTTGGGATGAGCTTACCAGAAGTTGACAAGTTGTGCAGAAGCTTATTTTTTCCAGTTCTTTGTACTTAGAATGGAGTTGCTCTCACTTAGTTCAGTGGATGGCAGATAATTCTGAGCCAAGAGGTTCATTTAAAAAGGAAGAAATTTCGCTTTTCAAAGGTATGTGCCCTCGCAATAAAAGATAACTTTTTGTGAAGAGTTTACACTGAAATTAAGTTATATTAAGCCTTAATTGCATATGTCAATTGAATTTCATTCTTTGACAGGAGCCAAAATTTCTGGGAAAGCATTACCGATGATGGACCGCCAAGTGTTAAGAGATATCAGCATAACGAGTGTGGGAAGGCAGTTGGAAATTCTCCAAGCGATTCAGGAAGTAGTTCAACCTGCAGATAAGCCTAGATCTCTGATAATATTGAGTAATGACTGTGAGGTTTGTTCAGTGTTTCGAAATATGCTATTTAACACATGAATCCAACAGGAAATTCGTGAAGTTCATTGCATTTTCTTCAAATGCCTAAAAGTGACCATCTTTAATTTTGTACTACTTAAGTTTGGAATTCCCTTTTAGTATGAAACTATCGGATAAAGTATGGCAGACCTGTGACTATTTTACTTCAAGATGAGGCTACACTCAGTATATTAAATATTTGTGCCTGCTACACTAAAAGAAACCAAGAAGACCAGTGATGCACTGCTCAGCTAATTAGGTATCTCCATGTTCATGTCTTCTTTTAGGCCAGATTTTAATAAGCGGTCAAATATTTTTTCTTTCTTAAATGATGTCAGAGAATAAAGAAACATGTTAAAACAGGAAGTTCAACTCACTGGAAAAAGAAAGTAAAGAAAATAGACCAAACGAATTGGTCAGAGGCCAACAAGAACTTGTATCGTATGAAGTAAGTGGGGAGATAATACTTGACAACATAATAATACCATCCTAATAAGATTTACTTTTACATACGGCAAAGCTAGAAAATGATTAAATTTTGAATGACATTTTTATAATAGGCTTCCTGTTGTACGAAGGGAGGCAGCAAAGATATGGCCAGGCAACGAGAAAGTTTACTTCAAGCAAAATCAGTAACCCTTTAAAATTGGAGGAACTCACATCAAAATTGACAGAAACCTGCACAATGTCTTACATTGGTTTTGGACGAGGTAAATTTTGTAGCTGTATTCAATTGTGCTAGTAATGGAAGTAATGGGACTTGTGGTGGTAAAGTACATGAATAAATTTCTCTCGACACTACATACAACAGATGTAAGACGATGGAACTTGCTCTCTTTTGGAACTTCTAATCTTACAATTCTCTAGGTTTGAACTTTATATTTGCTAGTATTAAGACTTCCTGAAGATTTTTCCTTTCTTTTTTTTCCAGAAGCCATTCGTTCCCACATTATACAATGGGGGAATGAAAAAAACGCAGACTAGCAGATGGATATGACTTTGAGGTGTAGTGTATGCTTAAATGATACCTTATTCATATGATATGGTTGTTATGCCTGTGTACAGGCTTTAAAGGGAGGACCTTGCAGGCAAAAATATACATATACATACACATATATATACCTGATGTTTTGAAAACCAGGTCCAAACAGCCCAATAACAGCTGGTGCCTAATAGAGTCATGTAAGCAGTGCTTACCAAGTTCCGCACTCCACACTTCATCTGGTGCAAAAAGGAAATGACACTAGAATCTCTGGGCCACCTGTGNGAGGTAAATTTTGTAGCTGTATTCAGTCGTGGAAGTAATGGAAGTAATGGGACTTGTGGTGGTAAAGTACATGAATAAATTTCTCTTGACACTACATACAACATATAACTAACCCTAAGATGATGGAACTTGCTCTCTTATGGAACTTCTAATCTTACAATTCTCTAGGTTTAAACTTTATATTTGCTAGTATTAAGACTTCCTGAAGATTTTTTCCCTTCTTCTTTTTCCAGAAGCCATTCGTTCCCACATTATACAATGGGGGAATGAAAAAAACCGCAGACTAGCAGATGGATATGACTTTGAGGTGTAGTGTATGCTTAAATGATATCTTGTTCATATGATATGGTTGTTATGCCTGTGTACAGGCTTCAAAGGGAGGACCTTGCAGGCAAAAATATATATATATGTATAAGGAGAAAGTATGATTTGTCTAACTAGAACCTCATTCTGCACTTAACTTTTATCCCTTGCAAAAACATTCTTTCCCCTGTCTTCCCATAAGGAACCTGTTCACTGGCTTCATTTTTAAAAGAAATAGTAAAATTTTTTGTTAATAAATAAATTCAATATGTTTTTCTCAGAAATGATACCTGTTTCCAGGAATTTTGTTATTTGTGTCAGGCACCAGGCAAGCTGACCAGTTGCAAGTGTGATTTAGTCTAATAGATTTATGTACCTACACTCTAATCCAAGTGTTCAATAAAACCCCTTTTTGCATTTGAATTAACCATTACCTAAGGTAGTACATAATTATATCAACCTTTGTTGATAAAGCACAATGATAATTTTTTAAAGTATCATTACTTCACCTTTTTCAGGTTGAACATACCTGTGCTAAAAGGGCAAGAAAATCAAGCATGAAGAGTTCCCCAAGCTCAAGTAGTAGTCGTGCTGAAGGTAAGCAATATTTTAGTGATCATAATTCCAAACCTGTTGCTTATACACAGGGTTAACCAATTACTTTTTATTGATTGAATTTTAAAAACAAGAAGGTGTCGTGGCACACTTTTGCCCTACAATAGTTTGCTAAAAACTGGGGTTGTTCTATCAAGTTCTGTAGATTTCTCTTAAAATGTCATTAATTTTTTAAAAAATCAAATTGCTTTGCAGGTGGAGATACAGAAACCTTAGAATCAGGGGATGCAGAAACAGAGGTTCCTGAACACAACATTGATAAAATTTCAAATGAAGCTTCCA